TTTTTGTTAACCTCCCAACAGAAAGACTAGGAATGAAAATGTTTTATTTGTAATGTGTTTGAAGAGCTCAGGACATTTGTTTCTTCTTCAATGACATGAATTTTCTTATATTTTACCCATCAGTTTAATTCTTCTTGACATCAGAAGCATAACATAGGAGAGTCTAAGTGACCAGTGACCTGATAATCCCTAGGACATACAGTTCAGTGTTTCCAGAAGGAAGTGCTGTATGTAATTCCTTCAAATTTTTATTTTCCATTTACATTGATCACTACAAATAAAATAAAGGTGGCTTCTCTATTTGGGTCAAAGAGCCTAAGCAAACTAAATGATGCCTAAATATATACTCAAATAGAGTAATGACTTCTTTTCTGTCATTGGAAAACATGCTGTTCAACAAGTGAATCTGTCAGTGAAGCTTTAAGCACCAATCCTTCCAAGTTTTAAAACTGCACCTTCTAGGGGCACTTGGCTGGCTCAGTTGGTACAACATCTCACTCTTGATATCAGGGTCGTGGGTTTGAGTCCCGTGTTGGGCATGGAGCTTACTTTAAAAAAAATTTTTTTTAATTGCATCTTCTGTTTTTTCATGTAAAATCATTCTCATTTTGCTTCCTTGCCTTCTTAAGCAGAATATACTATGCACAAATTAAACAGTTCTCAATGCATGCAGGCTATCATTATCAGCATCTATTACTGCCTTGTGCTGGAACACAGTCTTGTGTGCCCTAGAGGCAATGAAGGTGGGTACTGTTCTGTTTGTGTTGGTACTAAATGAATGTAGAGCCCATGCTGTAGGATTTTATACCTAACAATATAATTATTGTTTCTTCCCGTCTTGCTGGTAAGAAGTTAAAATTGCTTCTAATATTTTTAAAAAGGCATTAGGCTGATCTGTTGGATTCTGAATCTAGGGAGCTAGTTTCATATATACAAAACAGGCTCAGTTCCGAACACCCATGGAGCAAAGGCTGGGGTCCTTAAATTGTCTTGGGATAATTATTTGTACCTCTCACCCCCCACCCCCCACCATCTTTTCCTTACTTCCAGGCTCATACTAATGTAGAGCAGTGATTCTCCAGGCATCTTCCTGGGTCAACAGCAGTGGCATCACCTATGAGCTGGGGGGAAATGCAAATGCAAGGGCCTCACCAGCCTCTGCAAACAGGAACTCTGAGCTTGCTGCTCGGGAAACTGTTTTCACGAGCCCTCCAGGTGAGTCTTATACACAGTAAGGTTTGAGAATCACTTTTTAGAGGTGAGGCTTGCCAGAAATTTAACTTCTACATCAGTGACATACTCCTCTGCATGCATTCCAGGTTAACGTAAAACTGTTAGGAAGGCTTAATAAGAAACCACCCGGAGAGAAGAGAAGTGCAAAGGGGCAACTACCGTTTCATGATTTCCCACCTTTGCCCATGCTCTTCCCTCTGCCCACAGTGAGACTCCCACGAACCCTTCAAGTTCTAGTGCACATGTCACTTCCTCAGCCTTTTCTGCCATCTCAGGCAAAATTAATCGTTTTGCCCTATGTACCTTCTCAGAGTTTGCCCCTCTCCCTGTCCCAGCATTTTATTTATTGTGATTCATCAGTCTTCATATCTGTCTCCCTCTCAAGGCAGGGTCTATGACTCATCTTTACATCCTTTGTATCTAGCACATACATTTGTTGAGATAAATCAAATTGAGGGATAAACAAACTACGTACATACAATGAAAGACAAGATGGGGAAAGGACCTGAGATTTTCTACAGGAAAACACGGCCACTGCTAAAGGGACTTCTGGTAACCAGGCTCAGATCCCAGGCAACATGCTGGCCACAGACACCTTCAGTGAAAGGCCTCTCCGTGGGAGCTGCTAGCTGCACACCAATTAGAGCCAAGCGCTGGCATTCAGGATTCTCATTGCAGAGGCAGAAACACAGTAACCTGCCAGGAGCTGTCTCAACTGCCAGTCACCTGGGTCTCAGAGGGCCTGTGGACAGCACACGCCTGCTTGCCTCTCCTTCCTTGTGATAACCATCAAGGGCGGTGGGTCCAGGGCAGATGGTGGAGGGGGAGGGATGTTGAGGAGAGGGTCACAGATAGACAAGCATGCATTTCAATTCATGTCATATCTTTAAAAGGAGCTGGGACATAAACTATGGTTCAGCTAAACTGCAGCTACTTCACAATGAAAAGACAGGAATTTCCTTGACACTCAGTTCTGAGTGTCTCTCCATCCCCATTGCACACACTACAGATCTTCCACCCTGCTCTATTTTTTTGTCATAGCCTGACTTACCTTCTAGCATCTTACACAATCTTCTCATTGGTGAGGCTTCGTATCTGTCTCCCCCTACCAGGATCTAAGGCAACATGAAGGTAGGGGTTTCTATCTGTTTTGTTTACTGATATACCCCTAGTACTTAAAAAGTGCCTGGCACACAGAAAATGCTCGGTAAATTTCTGAGTGAATGAAAGCTTCCTTCTTCCCATTTCCTTGAAATGGATCCATTCCTCTGTTAGTCCTTCACCTCCAGGTTTAGCTAAAGTCAGTTACCTCCTTCCACCGTCCCTTCTTTCTAGGTCCAGAATAATTCTACAGCAAAACTACTGCTGGTACCTGTTCCCGTGTTCTCAATGCAGCCATATTTGGGCAGAGCACTTAGTTTAATGATGGCGTCTCCCTGGAGGTTGTCCTGATCGTCGGCAGCAAAGAAATGGTGAAATGAGAGTGGGGCTCTCCCTCCCTCGTCCACCTAAGAAAGAAAATATTGTACAGTCCTTGGGCGGTTGCACAGAACTGCAGTAAAAAGAACTGAATTGAAAAGTGCTGCCTGGGGTGACCTTCCAGCACCAATTTCACTTCTTTGATGAGGCAGAATCTCTACAGACGAGATGAAGAATGTGCATGATGCTGGAGCCAGGCCTCTCAAAGCTACACTCAGACACTATGACTTCTGTGTCTCCCTTCAAAGTTGTGCTTCCTTCAGTGATGGATCTGGTTATCAAGCAGCTCTAGCCCATTCCAATCACCCACCTCGGCACAGCAGGATGGCTGCCTTTCTTCCCTATCAACATTCAAAAGCCCGCAGCTAGAGAATGATCCATCCTGTTCTCCCTCAGATACTGTGAGGGCGACTGTCCCACAGGTGCTCCCACCCAGGATAAAAGTCCCACTTCTCCCCTTACAGGATATGTTGGTAGGTGTGCAGGAAGAAAGGCCTCACCATACCTGAAAGCAAGGGCTGATCTTAATGTTAAAGAGGCAAATAAATCAGCATAAGTAAAAGCAGCTGCTTGAACTAACTTTTTCTTTTAGGGCCCTGTTTTGTATGCTAACTCTGCAACCTGTCCCTGGTGTTTTTTGCTAGCCTCCTGGACATGACTGAGCCATTTCACTTTGAATAATTCTTGGCCTCATGTAGGGAGATCTACAAGATACAAAGTAGAAGGTCATCCTGACGCTGGGAATGGAGAAGGTCCACATGGGTTCCCCAAGGTATGGAATATCAAAGCCATTTAAAAACAACTCAGTTTTATGAGTATCATTTGCTTGACAAAACCAGAAAAATTCCTGCATTTTTGGCATTATGGTATGTACACAGAGCAGGCCAAGGAAACTGAATTAACTCTTATGGAATCCCTACCATGTGTTGTTATGTACCGGGGGCTTTTATATGCTATTCTGTTAACCATCAGAGCAATCCTCTATATAACAGGAGTAGTTATATTTTAAAGATGAGGAAATGGAAGCTAAGAAATATGTAATTAATTAGACCGGGGTCACTCAGCTAGTAAGTAACAGAACAAGCACTTGAACTCGGGTCTGGGTGACCTCATGATTGGGATATGTCATATGGCCTCCATCCCCCCCACACCCAAGGAACTGTAAATAATATTTACAGTGATTAATATTGACTTAAGAAGTGACTTGGGGACATTGTCCATATCCCCATATTTTAGTTCTTACAGACATTAGATGATTAACTCCTAAAAGATATATTACATTTATAATTTCACTCCCACTACTTCACACATCTAGCATAATATACAAAATATTACACATGTCTAGCATTTATGCCTAGCACATAAATAATTTTGACTAAATAATACAAACATAGTTATTTGACCTTCTGCATATAATTTTTTCATACTTTTTGAAAAAACTCATGATTAAAAACTGCATATCTTGACAGTATTGGCTAGATACTTTGGGGGAAGAACTTGGCAGCCAGTTCAGGTAGAAATCCTGTATTTACATCAGCACAGATTCCAGTTCTCTACAACACTCATTGTTCATTGATCTGAGAATTGTTTACCGTGATAAGGTCAGCGAAAGCAATGACTGGAGGTGGATTCTCAACAGGAGTGATAGTGATGGTAAACATCTGATTGTCTAGATGGTTGTGGTCCATATCAGAGACAGAGAAATGGAAGCTATCAGTAACCAGATTACCATCAGTCTCATACACAGCTGAATACCTACAGAGGTAAGGACAAGAATCAAATGAATGAGCTACATGACAAGCCAGGTAAGATGATTGCATCTTTGTTTAAAACTGGAACAATATAGGGGCGCCTGGGTGGCTCAGCTGGTTAAGCGTCCAACTTCAGCTCAGGTCATTATCTCTTAGTCCATGAGTTCGAGCCCCTCGTCAGGCTCTGTGCTGACAGCTCAGAGCCTGGACCTTGCTTCAGATTCTGTGTCTCCCTCTCTCTCTGTCCCTCCTCCCCCCCCTCTTTCTCTCCAAAATAAATAAACATTAAAAAAATGAAGCAATATAATCTTTCAAGGGAGCTATGGGTTAGTTGCTTAAATGTTTTAATACAATTTTTAAAAATTCTGTCAAGTAATACAAAGTGGTTATATACCTAATTTTCTTGTTGTTGATGTCTTCCATTGTGAAATTGGAAACCTCCGAGAGCTCTTCCACTTCAGATCCTGACATTCTTAAGAGGGCACCATACATGGGCAGAGAATTTAACTGAATCCATATCTCTGGGTCAGGGGAAGAATCATCCTAATCAGGCAAATATGAGGCAAGACATGAACACACATTTATAGGAATAAATGCTTCCAGTAGTTAAAAATCACGTGCTTCCTTCTCTGCCAATTGGAAAAGTCTCTTTCCCTTTGTGATAAAGCAACACCACTTTGAAGTGCTTGAAAATCCTAGTATCTATTCCTTGTAAAATGCCTCTTTGATAATGTCTTCTTTCAAGACTAGCTTATGATAATAATGGGGAAATGCCCTTTAGGTATGTGGCATAAAACAAAGAGATGCCCTATTGTTATTATAAGGGCCACATGGGGTTTCATTGCTATTACAAGCATCTAGTGAAGAACAAAACATGGTCAGAGATAGAAAGTCATCTCTCTATAAACATGGTTGTAGGCTTCTTTTAAGAGTTTCAAAGGACAGTTTGCTTTTTAGACAGAGTTAAAATTCTATTATAACATATAATACAATGATAAATATAATTCTGTGGAACAGAAAGAAGGGAAGTTATTTAGCTTAGTCAAAGACTCACTTTAAGTAATATTTGACATGTAAAAAGTTTAGTTTAACAGAAGAATTTAGGAAATCTTACAGATTTCATTCTACCAGGATGGAACCTACAGATACTCAACCCCCAAGATGACCAATCTTAACAAACACGATTTCCCTTTCCTTCTGCATTGTTTATTGAGAAATAAAATTGGCTTTCTGTGTTTCCAAGTGGACAATAGTTGTATATCTCAATGAACAATTTCTTCTTTCTTCAAGAATATTGTGGAAATATCTAAGAGGCAGGCAACATCTTCTTGGAGAGTTTCTCTGAGTCATTCATCTTTTAGAGTAGTTGGCTGTGAACATGGGGGCTCTTTGCACTTTACCACAGCAACAAAAAATATATATATTGCATGGCAAAGTGTACTTTTAAATGCAAATTTCCATTGCTGTGTTATAGTTATTTGAAGTATGGATCAGGAATGTGCTCAGGATATCTGGCGATCTGGGGCAGGGGGTTTTAGTCAGTTCTTGTTTATAACCCTAAAGGCCTTTTTAAGTTGACAGGTCAGAGCCTCAATGCAAGGTCACAGAATTTTCCATATTTCCTCACATCACCTGACATCAGTAAGGAAGGAAACTCAAATTCATTGAAGCTGCAAACCTTCAGAAAATTTCCCCTAAATTTATACTTCAAAACTTTCTCTACTATTCCACATGGGTTATCAAATACAACATGCAGACTTCCAAAAGACTGCCTCCTAATATTATTATGAGTACCTTCTGAGAGAGAATTTTTAAAAGACAGCTAAGAGTTCCAAAGTACTGTCTTCGGAGATGGTGATAAACTACAAGGACAGAACTCCTGGCTCTTGATTAGAATGAATAGCTTTGAAATTCCACACTGGTAAATTTGGCAAAGAAATGCTTATTTCATGTCAGGCACATTTATTTTAATGTTTCAAATCTCAAGTGACCGGTGGGTTTGAAAAAGTGTGAAATTGGCTAGATATTTTTTTTCTTCTGAAAATGCTATCATAATTTAAGAAAATATTAATTATTTTTAATAATTAAGGAAAATTATTACTTTGGCCTATCTAAGGTATCATGGATGCAAAAAAAATTGATAAGAATGTAGACTTTATTCTCACATAATTTTCCTACCTTCCTAACCCTTTTGTATTAGTTCATTTTTCATTTTCTTTTTATTATTTTTACATCTATTGACCCACCAGTCAACACAAGGACTAGAACACTGCTAATTAACATTCATGTATGTGTTCCTCCTTTATCTTGTCATTGGGCTACCATCACCCTGGATCTTGCTTCTCATTTCCTTGAATTTCTTGATATGATTTGATATATTACTACAAAGTATTTTTAGTTGTTTTTAAAAAACTTATGAAAAGACTTTCCCCTTGTGGGACTTCTTACTCAGTAGTGGACTGCTGAGACCCGTCGATATTGTTGTATGTAGCAATAGTTCATCTGTTTCGAGTGTTGTGTAATATTCTAAGGAGTAAGTATACCACAGGTTCTATTATCCTGTTGATGGGCATTTGTCTTGTTTCAATATTTTTGCTATTACAAATAGTATCACTTTGAGTATTCTTGGGCATATCTTTTGGTGTACATATGAAAGTTTCTCTTGGATAGGAATCTAGGAGTGGAATGGTTAGTGTATATGACCACTCATCCTCACAAGACTATGCCAAATTCTTTCCCAAAGTGGCTTCTTCAAGTTTACTTTTCCATCAGCAAAGAAACTTCTATAGGTTCATTTCCTCTACAACATTTAAAAATTTAGGGGCGCCTGGGTGGCGCAGTCGGTTAAGCGTCCGACTTCAGCCAGGTCACGATCTCGCGGTCCGTGAGTTCGAGCCCCGCGTCAGGCTCTGGGCTGATGGCTCGGAGCCTGGAGCCTGTTTCCGATTCTGTGTCTCCCTCTCTCTCTGCCCCTCCCCCGTTCATGCTCTGTCTCTCTCTGTCCCAAAAATAAATAAAAAACGTTGAAAAAAAAATTAAAAAAAAAAATTTAGATTTCTTCCAGTTGAATTGGTATGATATGGTATATAGTCTTTTTGGCTTTTCTTGATGCATAAAAAAGTGATGATATCTTTTTATATTTATTGTCCCTATGGGTTCCTCTTCTGAAATTCCTATTAATGTCTCTTGTTCATCTTATCTGGGTTATCTTTTTCTTCTCAATCTGTAGACATTTGATATATTTTCTTTGTTATTTTTGGTTATATATATTGCAAGTACCTTCTTCCAATTTGTAACTTGTCTGTTTTGTGTATTTCTGGTATGTTTAGGGAAACATAAATTTAATTTTAACATAGTCAAATTTATTAATCTTTTCTTCATAGTTAGGACTTTTTGTTTCTAGTTTAAAAATTCTTCCCTTTCCCAATATCTAAAAATATTTACCTATATCCTACAAAGAATTGCTTGATTTGCTTGAAGTTACTAATCTCTGTGTACAGTGTGAGGGAGCACTACAAGTTCTTTTTTTATCCGCAGGAACAACCATTTTGTGCAGATCTATATTTTAAGTAGTTCCTCCTGTTTCCACTGATCTGGCTTACTATACCTGTTTTATATTACAGTCTCATTTGTAGGTCTGTTTCTGGACTCTCTCATACATTCTTGTGCTACTACACTGCTTTAAATAGCGCAGGTTTATCATAAATTCTGATATTTGATAGGGCAAGCCCCTGCCCTCCTAGCATTCTGTTTCAGAATTTTGGTCCTTCGTTCTTTATTGTAGAATCAGCTTATCAAGATCCATAAAAAGTCCACTGGGCTTTTGATTGGAACTCAGTTGAAAGGCAGGATCACTTTGCAGGAAAATTGCTATCTTTTAGATATTAAATCCTGTGATTCATGAGTATGGCATGTCCCATCATTTATTGAGTGCTTTTAATGTTTTATTTTATTTTTGAGAGAGACAAAGACAGAATGCAAGTGAGTTAGGGGCAGAGAGAGAGGGAGACACAGAATCCGAAGCAGGCTCCAGGCTCTGAGCTGTCAGCACAGAGCCCAAAGCGGGGCTTGAACTCACGAGCTGTGAGATCATGACCTGAGCCGAAGTCAGACGCTCAACCGACTGAGCCACCCAGGCTCCCCTATTGAGTGTTTAAAAAAAAAAATGTTTGTCAATTAAGTTGTTACAATTTTTTCTGTAGAAGTACTGTCTAATTTTTGTTAGATTTAGTCCAAAAGACATGATTTTAAAATGCTATTATAAGTGGTATCATTTTTTAAGTTACATTTAGTGGCTATTTTTTGCTTATGTATAGCAATGCTATTGCTTTGTTGAGCTTCTCTTTGACCCCTTGGTAAATTCTCCTTTTATTTCTAAAACTTGGCTAAGAGATTCTTTTCGATTTTCTTTTAGTTGTACATAGTATCAATTTTCCCTAGAAATTATACATCTTTTTTTACATTTATTCTTAGATATGTGTTATGCGATGTTATTATAGATGGTATCCTATTTTTAATTATTATATTTTTGGCTGGTGCCTAGAAATGCTATTAGCTTTTTAAGATTAATCTCATATCATCCTGCCCACATTACAGATGAGAAAACTAGCCCTAGAAAGCTAAGTAACTTGCCAAGGGTTACTATGCTAGTAAGTGGTAAGCCTGGATTAAAACTCATCTGTTGTAACTACAAAACACCCTTTCACTACTTGTTTACCTGCAGTGTGTAGCAAACTGTACAGGAAACCGCCATTAAGAAGCAAATCACACAGAATCCCATTTCTGCCTTTTGTCTCTCTTGACATCTCTTGCCATTAATGATACTCTAATTAAGAGGCTTGTCTGCTCCTATCCTTTTATATTCTGCTCCTTTTATGACCAGCATTTCAGATGGCTTTTCTAACCTTTTTGCATGTTCACTGCAAACTCACTAACTATGCATATCTGCAAAAATTTCCCCCCATGACACCAAGCACAAAATTCTTCTATAACCCTCAGAGAAAAAGTTAGTATATAACTTAGCTAAGTCCTTAAAATATGCTATACTTTCAGCAGGCTAGAATAGTCCTTTTGGAGTCTTTCTGCTCTAGTGGGTAAATTCACATTCAATCAATTTCTGAAAAATACATGTTCAGTTGCCAATGGGCTTGCGTTTTGATATGCAGCTTATAATACACAGTTAATGGGCAGGAACTGCTCCTGGAGAGCTATTTTGGCCTGTCAAACATTTTTCAAGCCTTGGTGATCTATTGATTAAATCTATATTCATACATTTTTATGAATTCATGAGTTTCATAAGATTCAAAAGACCATAACCTATGGTAAAAATCACCTGTCAATTAAGAAAAAAACAAAATCAAAGCTGTTCTGAAGCTCTACTGGACCCATGAGAAGAATCAGGGTGGAATGCAGTTTCCCATAATTTAAGAAAAGACAATTTCAGGGCTAAATCTGTGCTAAAGCAATTGAAGCAATTGTTCCCAGGCTAAGGCTTTATCTTACATGCTACTATTCAGGACTAGATTTTAGAGCTAGACTATTTAGCCCAGAAAAGGATTACTTAAAACTATATAGTATTTAAAAAGGCGGGGGACAGGTCATTGGTTGGAATTTTAACATTGGTAAGGAAAAATTCAATACTGAGAATGATTACCATTCAGATAATCATCCTTATTTTCAAGGTATTTGCCAAAACTATTCATTATGTTTACATGGATAATTCATGTATGTTTACAATGCACACAACTGAAAAATAAAATTAATTATCCTTATCCTTAGCTCCAGAGGTGGAATCAAAGAAAGAAGAAGAGTTTAATTAACCAGGATCACTTAGCAAATTAATGCCAGATGGGGAAAAAATGCAGAGTCCCTAAATCTAAACCTTGGTCCCCTAAACACACTGCTTCCTTTGGGGCATGGGATGGGGGTGAGTCAGTAATCTTGCCTAGGGAATCTGGCAGAGACGCACTGCCAAAGGGGTGTGGCAGCATTCTGTCTAGCGCTGGCTCTGAGACAAAAGCTGGTGAAAAGTGGGCTTCTTCTCAGTGGGCCATGAAATATCATAAGTTATTAGTCATTAATCAGACAAGTTCTTCTAAAACGCTCTTTCCTGAAAATTCCCACTCAAAATATTATGGATGGGGCTTCAAAAAAAATGGGGACTTGGGTTTTTCTGACACCAGCAATGTTCCTTGTTGGCAATCACCCATCCCTACACAATCTCATTGTGTTTTCATCAAAGTTTTGCTCGTTCCTTTGTCTGTTCATGAGACACTAGGAGCAGCCAGAGTAAACACTGTAACTCCTTCTAAGTGTAGAACTATTGGGAAAGTTGAGAAAAAACTTCCTTATCTGGCCATATTCCTGATGTCCCAAATATTCAGCCATAGCCTTATTTTCTAGTCAGGCCCAGGGATGGGGTGCAGTGAACAAGAGTGGGGCAAGAACTTACAACATAAGCAAGATGTGACCTGGTGATTACGGCCGTGCTTTTACTAGCAACTGTAATGCTCAGAGAGGCGCCGGCAGCCAGCTGAGGCCCTGGGTCCTCTGACAGTGACACCTCCACTCTTACTTCCACGGTTGTCACCGAGGTGCCATCTGTGACTGAGATCTCCATGCTGTCTTCCCGGGCGGAGGAGCCGTCGTGTAGATACTGCAGAGCATTTTTCTCAATGTCCTCATATGTGAAAGTGTCACCTTTTGAGAATAAAACAAAGTGCAAAACCAATTACTTCTGGGAATAACACTTTTCATGTATATAACACCTTTGTTCTCAGGATTTCAAAGTACATATAGGATCATAAACTCTGGGAGTTGTAAGTTAATTAGTCCAACCACCCACCCAATATAGGATTCCTTTTATACCACTCTTGAAAAGGGGTTATTTAGCCTGCCCTTCAACACTTCTCAAGGTGGGAGGCTCACTGTTTTACAAGGTAGCTAATTCTACTGGAGAGGGCTCTAATTTTTGTAAGTTCTTAATCATATTGAGCCCAAATCTGTTTCTGTAAGATTCAGGCATCATTCTTAGTTCTAGCGAATTAAAGGTCAAGCCTCTATTCTTTATGATAACACTTCTAGAATCTAATCTTGACACTAAAATTCTTTTGAGAAAGGTATGAAAATAAATTATGTTTGATGAATCTGTAGAGGTCTTTATTTTAGTTGGGAGTATAAAGTTTTTCTAAAATAAAAAATATCTGAAAATTGAAAAACCTACTTAAAGTTAGAAATCCAAACTTTCTAAGTCTAGAGTACTAATTTGTGATAGATTTTATAGGCATTGTGTGAAATAAGTTTCAAGGTCATATAACTTTGGGGAAAATAGGTTTAAACAAAATTTAAAACTAAAAATTTTTGAACTGCAGGATTTACTAGAATTTTAGAATCTTCGATATATAAGTATTAAAGCATTTCAAAATTGTTTGGTCATGGAATCCTTTATGAGAAATGCCCCTTAGTGCCATGGACCCCAAGGATTCTAGAGAGTACAATTGAGGAATTGGTATTCTTGGATGTTATTTGCAATTCTATTTCCTGATAGATTATTGGCTGTAATAATTGGTATTATGAATGAGACTAAAGAATTTATTCATTTTCTGTATTTGTCTTCCAAGCCTTCTCTTTTAACATTGTGTTATTGTGATTTACTGGTGCTAGTGGTATTGAGCCTTAAAAAAAAAGTAATAAAACTAATATTTTATATATATCTTTGTATCTTATATATTAATTATACAAATATAAGCTAAATATACTGTTAAAGAAGCTGGGCTCTGACTGTTAATGCTCTTAAAGTAGTTCCCTTAGGATGCTAGAAATTTATTCTGATGACATTTCTTGCGTTCAGTAAATTTTTTAAAAATCCGCCTTTGTGACTCCCAAATGCTGATTGGTTGTTCTTCAAATTCTATCTACCTTCAAGGTCAGAGACTTGCCCCCCTCTCTCTGCAGGGATATTCAAAAGAATGCATGATTACATACCTATTAGGAATTATATAAAGGTTTTGAGAAAGTACAGATTGTTAAAATATGCATATAGCATTCCAAAGTGATTACTTTGAAAGGGATAATACTCACTTTGATATATATGGGCTGACTATTAAAAATTAGATTAGTTGTGTTCCTTGTGCTTCTCTCTGTTTTCTAAACAATCAACATGTCTTATTTTTTATAATTGGAGAGTGTAAGAAATATTATTTTGGAAAGCTGGTCACATCACCTACCATAGTGTTACATCACAAAGACAATACTCAAAAAATGTGTTTCCTTTTCTATGGATGAGGATACATGTAGTTTATACTATCAGAGTTTCAGTGCTAAAAATATTGTGAAGATTAACATACCAAACTAAGGAAGACAAATTCATCTTCATGAACAAACCATAGGAAAGTGGCAGCTGACACTTCCTATGAGGTTGTTCTAAATGTATTTACTCCAGGTAAATCGACCAATTCAACTAATTTCACCAACAACTTGAGGAAACAGCTTCATAGTTTGGGGTGTGGGTGATGGCACAGAGAAAGAAGTCCCAAATATTTCAGCCAATGGGCTAAAAGCTAAAAGTTTTTCCTTTTTCAGTGTCTCCTCATAGTTTGTCCCACAGAGTGGCTTTCCTTCTTGTCTGAGACACATAAAACTGACTATAGAGCAAGAAATTCTCCAAGCAGTCAATGACAGAGTAAGCAGCTACCTGTGGCCATGGGCCCTTTGAACTTGGCTGTGTACTTAAGGAGCACGCCATGCTCTGGAGGTTTCCGGAGCTCAAAGAAGAATTCTTCAGGTGCTATCTTGGTATCTCTTACTACCAGCTGAAGTCCTGCAGTCAGGAGACAAATCATAGCGACAGGTTGTGGGTACGTTAAAAAAAACTCTATGCCCTGGGGTGCCTGGGTGGCTCAGCTACTTATGTGTCCAACTTCAGCTCAGGTCATGATCTCACAGCTCGTGGGTTCAAGCCCTGTGTTGGGCTATGTGCTGACAGCTTGGAGCCTGGAGCCTGCTTTGGATTCTGTGTCTCCCCTCTCTGCCGCTCCCCCGTTCTCTCTCTCTCTTTCTTCCTTTCTCTTTCTCTTTCTCTCTCTCAAAAATAATACACATTCAAAAAAAATTTTTAACTGTATGCCCTGCATACATTACAGCCACAGGGCAGGCTGGAAGCCATGTTGTAGACAATCTGATGGTCATCAGAAGGCAGTGTTTAACTCCAATCAACCACAAAAGAGTGAAAATTGATAATACAGTCAATTCTCAAATTGCAAATAGTTACCTTACTTTTAAAAGTTAATTTATAAGTAGGTAGTTCTCAAGAACACTTTTCATCATCTATACAAATGAGGGCATGGAAACCAACATTAGTTCAGTCCTGACCTGCGGGGGTAGGTTTTCTTACAGAAAATGTTCCTAGAAACTGTTTTTGCTTTTCACTATTTTTTTTTTTAATTTTTTTTTTCAACGTTTATTTATTTTTGGGACAGAGAGAGACAGAGCATGAACGGGGGAGGGGCAGAGAGAGAGGGAGACACAGAATCTGAAACAGGCTCCAGGCTCTGAGCCATCAGCCCAGAGCCCGACGCGGGGCTCGAACTCACGGACCGCGAGATCGTGACCTGGCTGAAGTCGGACGCTTAACCGACTGCGCCACCCAGGCGCCCCTGCTTTTCACTATTTATTCCCTCCTTTTTCTGAACCTACACAAGAACAAAATTGTTTTAACATTAGCTGCTATGGCCATGACAGAAGTGAGAAAGAGTAGGGTAGAAGTGACAGTCGGCTTGTTTAGAAATTGGATGATAATTAATTTCAGGCCAATACTCATGGGTAGAAACTGGATGAGGATCTGTAGAGAACAGCTAACAAAACCCCAACATCCACTGTTTGCTTTTAAAATGTACTTAGTGAAAGAATAAAGAAAATCCTAAAAAGTAGGTACACTAGTAGGTAAATAAAATCACATCCAAAATAACAGGGCCAACTCCTTACAACTTCTGAAGGTTATTATGATCTGTCGTCTCTCCTGTTTCTCTTTACTTTCCAGACAAAACAGGAGCAGTCACTGAAACTGCCCCCCCTCTTTTCTGCTCTCTACTCTCCTTTGTTAACTTTGTACTTTAGTGATGGCAACAAATCGAACTCCTGGAGTCTAGAAAATGAATTCTGTGTTGTATTCCATCACTGAACATTGACCTCTGAAGGGTTTATTTCCTTTTCTCTGTGCTGCTTCTATTTGCATGGAAATGGGCGGAGGGAAGGAAACAGGTGAGAATGCATGCACCTTTTGGAAGAGGAGGTCACTACTTTTTGGCAAGCATCAAGAGGTTTAAACAGGGACTGTGGCTGAATTATGGTTCCATTTCCAAAGGCATGTTTCTTTCAGGTTCAGTTCTTACCTATAGAAGAGCTGCCTCCTGGGCTGACCTCAAGCAGTGGAGCTCTGACCTGGAACACAGGCGGGTGCTGATCAGTGGGAAGCAAGTGAATGGTGAGGGCCATCTCCGGACTTGTGTGATCTCCATCTGAAACTGGAAAGGATACACACACACACACACACACACACACACACACACACACATCAACTTGTAGTCTGGTCACCATCAGGCTGCTTCCACAAACAGGTAGCCAGAAGCTTTTTTAGATTACCTTAACACCTTACAGAGATGCTTACAAATGGAAAAAGTAAGCAAGCAAGTAACATACTGTGGGCTATTCTAACAAAGCTTTTTCTACTGGATAATGAAAAGGCTAAAGGACCATAATAACAAGTCATTTTTAAGAAGCAAATTTCACAACAAGGTGATATTGGTAAACACTAGGGGAAAGGAAAGTAACACAAAATCTGCACTCTTAGATGATGCTGGTAAAGACTTATTTCTTTTATTTATGGAATTATTTTTTGACTCCTCCTATTTCAGAAAAATATTTTCTTTCGAGTGATCTCATTTAGAAAAGACATGCCTATGTCTCCTTAGAAAAGAACTTTTTGAAAAAGATAGAAAATACCCATACAAGTTTCTCTAATGGCATTTGTTTGGAAGCAAGCAGACCCAGTTTTTTTTTACCTGAACGTTATACACAATGCAGTAAATGGAAGATACTTTTGCGAACAGAACAATGACTTCAATATTTTATTTCCTTGGATTATCTGACATCCAAGTAACCACTGATCACCTGAAGGACACAAAGGCAGAGGTGCCTGGCCCTTGACTCTTCTTTCCCCTTTCTTACCTCACGACACCCTTGTGGGGCGCCTGGGTGGCTCATGTGGTTAAGAGTTCGAGTTCAGCTCAGGTCAAGATCTCACAATTTGTGAGTTGGAGCCCTGCATGGAGCTCTCTGCTGTTATTGAGGAGCCTTCTTTGGATTCTCTGTCTCCCTTTCTCTCTCTGCTCCTCCCCTCCCCACAAAAATAAATAAACATTAAAAAATAAAAAATAAAAAATACCCTCTCTTCTCTAAAAGCCAGGTTTGGAAGAATATGTGTACTATCAGTTCACCAATGTGTTTATCTGTAGTGGCTAGTAAGGAAACTGTACTGTTGATTATTTTAAATGTGTAATATGCTTTCATATGGGTTGGTTTCCTTCTTCCCTTTCTTATAGACTTAGTAACAAGTCTGTAGGAATCTGACATCTACTTAAGCAAAGCAAAGCATTACTCAGGGCCTCCTACTAATGACATTTGGGTTTTAGATTTGTCTTTTCCTTGAGAACAGATCTAAAAGATATGGCTGGATTTTATAAGGTACAGAGCAGTCCAGAAATAGCCCTACTGAAGGCCAGGAGACATTACCCTTGTGACATGAAGGTTTTATGGTCCTGGTCATTCAGTTAAGTGTCACAATTATTGCCCCTGCTTCTTTGTTTATGCTCAATCTCCTCTCTGGATCATCAAAGATAGGGACAAATAATTCTTAACTTTGGAGAGTTTGGGGACAAACATAATGAACTATTCCATAAATCTCAGTGGGTTCTGATTCTCTGAGGTCCCTGGAATCTAAGTTAAGAACACCTATGTTAAATAAAAATCATAGTTATAAGATATAAATTTTACTTTTTAAAATTGTTTTATGTTGATATCATTTTTTTTTTTTTTAGAGAGAGAGAGAGTGTGCAAGTGGGAAGGAGGGGCAGAGGGAGAGACAGAGAATCTTAACAAGGCTCCATGCCCAGTGAAGAGTCTGACATGGGGCTTGATTCCATGACTCTGGGGTCATGACCTGAGTTGAAATCAAGAGTCAGACACAATTGACAGAGCCATCCAGGTGTCCCATACACTGACTCCATTTTTAAGTTGGGAGGGAACCTCAGGGAGCCTTCCACATCCTCACTTTTACAGAAGAGGGAAGGGGCCCTGAAACTTAAGAGCCTTGGTAATATCACACAGCTGTCAGTGTGACCAAGGTATATCCTTTTCTCTGTAAGTAAATGGAAGAAAGCTATTTTCTGGCACATATTTTATAACTAGAAAATATATCAAGAGGATTCAGAATTTTGTAAGCAAATATAAGAACTTATAATAAAAATGTTAGTAATTACAAGTCTAGGTGTCCCTTTGAGCAACATTTCTGATTTCTCTGAGAAACAGTCAAATTGCCTCTTAAGGTCAGATGCCTCCTGCAGGAACCATTTGCCTTGTGTATTTTCCTTGCTTAGGGCGGCTCTACAGAGCATGTATGCTTATTTTGAAGCAGCCAGGTCAGGAATATCAACTTTCCTTCTCATCTTAGTTGATTAACCAAATGAGCTATTCTCCTTCATTCTACAGGTTAATATCAGGGCTTGGGCTTGTTGCCACCTTAGTTCATTATGTGCCTAATTTAAAATTTTCTCTCACAAAACTCTCCTAAAGGAGATAGCTTCCTTCCTACCAGTTTCCAAAAGTTTTTCTCCTTAAAAAAAAAGGGAACCTCTTACACCCTTCACAACAATTAACTCAAATGGATCATGGAGCTAAATGTAGAATGCAGTAATACTATAAGGCTCCTAGAAGACAATATAGGAGATAACTTAGAAATTACCTTGGGTGATGCCTCTTTAGATACAACACAAAACATATGATCCTTGAAAGAAATCATGGATAAGCTGGACTTCATTAAAATTAAAAACTTCTGCTCTGTGAACAATGTCAAGTGTATGAAAGGACAAGTCACAAATTGAATAAAAAATGTGCAAAAGACCCATCTGATAAAGGATTGTTATTCAAAATGTACAAAGAACTCATAAAACACAACAATAAGAAAACGAACAGCCCGATTAAAAAATGGGCCAAAGACCTTAACAGACACCTCACCAAAGAAGACACATAGATGGCAAATCACATGAAAAGATGCTCCTCATCATATGTCAGCAGAGACATGCAAATTAAAACAATAATAAGATGCCATTACATACCAATTAAAATGGCCAAAATCTGGAACACTGACAATACCAAATGCTGACAAAGATGTGGGTCAAAAAGAACTCTTATACATTGCTGGTGGGAATGCAAAATGGTACAGCCATTTTGGAAGACAGTTTGGCTTTTTTTTTTAAACAAAACTAAATATATTCTTATCATATGACACAGCACCTGCACTCTTTGGTATTTACCCAAAGCAGTTGAAAACTTAGGTCCAAAGCCTGCACCCAGATGCAGATGTATTTACAATTGCTAAAACTTGGAAGCAACCAAAATGTCCTTTAGTGGATGAATGGATAAATAAATTGTGGTACTTCTAGACAATGGAATGTTATTCAGCACCAAAAAGAAATGAGCTACTAAGCCACGCAAAGACATGGAGGAACCTTAAATGTATATTGCTAAGTGACATAAGCCAATCTGAAAATACCACATTTTTTTTGTCCTAACTCTTCACATGGTTTTATTATTTTTTTTGATATGAAATTTGTTGTCAAATTGGTTTCCATACAACACCCAGTGTTCATCCCAACAGGTGCCCTCCTCAATACTCATCATCCACCCTCTCCTCCCTCCCACCCCCCAACAACCCTCAGTTTGTTCTCAGTTTTTAAGAGTGTCTTATGTTTTGGCTCCCTCCCTCTCTAACTTTTTTTTTTCCTGCCCCTCCCCCATGGTCTTTTGTTAAGTTTCTCAGGATCCACATAAGAGTGAAAACATATGGTATCTGGAGTGTTGATGCATAGGGGCACTTGTACCCCAATGTTTATAGAAGCACTTTCAACAATAGCCAAATTATGGAAAGAGCCTAAATGTCCATCACCTGATGAAAGGATAAAGAAATTTTGGTTTATATACACAATGGAATACTACTTGGCAATGAGAAAGAATGAAATATGGCCTTTCGTAGCAACGTAGATGGAACTGGAGAGTGTTATGCTAAGTGAAATAAGTCATACAGAGAAAATACCACATTTTATAGGATTCTCACTATATGACATTCTGGAAAAAACAAAACTATGGAAGACAATGAAAAGAACAGTGGTTGCTAAAGGAGGGAAGTAGGGAAGGGAGAAGAATAGGAAGAGCATAGAGGATTCTTAGGGTAGTGAAAATACTCTATATGACATTATAATAATCCATTATAATAATGGATAAATGTCATCATTCACTGGCCAAAACCCAAAGAATGTAAAATGCCAAGAATGAACCCAAACTATAGATTTTGGTTGATTATGATACATTAGTATAGGTTCATCCTTAGTAAAAAATCTACTGTTCTGATGAGTGATATTGACAATGGGAGAAGCTATGCTATGCATGTGTCGGGGCAGGGTGAGTAAGGGAAATCTCTGTACCTTACTCTCATTTCTTTGTAAACCTGAAACTGCTCTAAAAAAATTAAAATTTTAAAATCATTTTAAAAAAAATTACTCAACCATATATATATATATATATATATATATATATATATATATATATATATATATATATATACACACACACACACACACACACACATATATATATGTATATAAAAGATACATATATACATATAGAAGAAAAAGCCTCAGGCAGAAACAAGATAAATTAATTTAAGGTCACCCCAACATCTATTTACTCTACTCTGTATGATAAGTTCAAGGATCATTTAACTTCAAGTCCCAGAGAAGTTAATAGTTAACCCCTTCACCTAATTAAGCTTTCAGGTAAAAGTTGAGGTTTGGAAACCAAATAGGCACACTATTACGATACTTGTTTTTCATGACCAACACACATGCAGCCCAGACTAAATTAAATATCTCATGCTCAGTGTCAGAAACATGTATTAAAATCTTTGCTCTACTGTTTACCAGGACTGGAAATCTGGGCGATTACTTACTCTATTGACCTGTAGTTTTCCCAGCTTTAAAATGCTAAACATAATACTTTAAAATGCTAAAAATAGTATTGTTATAAGGATTAAATTAGACAACTTGTACTGAAAATTGTTTTGTAAAATGTAAAATACTATATAATCTGTTGTATATTATTAATGATTGTATGAACTATCTAGAAGCTTATCACTGGAAATGAGCTGATACTGGATTCACATCAACAAATGACAAAATAGTTGAAAAAGAAATAAAAGGCATCTAAATTGGAAAGGAAGAAGTAAAACTGTCACTATTTGCAGATGGCACATTATGTATAGAAAAACCTAGATGCCACCAAAAAACTATTAGAACTAATAAACAAATTTAGTAAAGTTCTATGATACAAAATCAATATGCTAAAATCTGTTGCATTTCTATATCCTAATAATAAGCTATCAGAGATGTTCAGAAAATAATCCCATTTATAACTACATCAAAAAGAATGAAATACCTAGGAATAAATTTAACCAAGTAGGTGAAATATCTGTGCTCTGAACTATAAGATACTGATGAAAGAAACTGGAGAAGACATAATAAATGTAAGGATATTTCATGCTCATGGATTAGGAGAACTAATATTGTCAAAACGTCCATAATACTCAAAGCAATCTACAGATTCTAAGCAATCCCATCAAATTTCCAAAGGCATTTTCCACAGAAATAGGACCAATTATTCTAATTTTGTATGAAACTATAAAAGACCCCAAAAAGACAAAGCAATCTTAAGAAAGAAAAACAAAGCTGAAGGCATCATGCTCTCTCATTCTGAATTGTATTACAATGCCACAGTAATCAAAACAGCATTACATTGGCACAAAAATAGATCAACAGAATCAACAGAGATCAACAGTATAGAATAGAGAGCCCAGAAATAAACCTACATATATACAGTCAATTAATTTATGACAAAGGAGCCACAAATATACAATGAAAAGGACAGTCTCTTCAATAAATTGTGTTGGGAAAATTGGACAGCCACATGCAAATGAAGGAAACTCTACCGTTATCTTATACCCCCCACACAAAATAACTCAATATGGATTAAATACTTGCATGTAAGACCTGAAACTATAAAACTCTTGGAAGAAAACAAAGGTGGAAGCTCTTTGATGTTGGCCTTGGTGATGATTTTTTGGGATTTGAAACCAAAAGCAAAGGCACCAAAAGCAAACATAAACAAGTGGGACTACATCACACTAAAAAGTTTCTGCACAGCAAAGAAAACCATCAACAAAATGAAAAGGCAAAGTACCAAATGGGAGAAGATATTTGCAAATTATGTATCTGATAAGGGGTTAATATCCAAAATATATAAAGAACTCATAAAACTCAATAGCCCCAAACCCAAACAATCCAATTAAAAAATAGGCAGAATACCTGAATAGTCATTTTTCTAAAGACATAGAGATGGCCAACAGGTACACGAAAAAATGCTCATCATCACTAATCATCAGGGAAATGCAAACCAAAACCACAATGAGATAGCACCTCACATATGTTAGAATGACTATTATCCAAAGGGCAAGAAATAACAGTGTGGGCTAGGATGTGGAGAAAAGAGAACCCTTGTGCACTGTGGATGGGAATATAAACTAGTACACGCTCTATGGAAAATAGTTCGAAGTTTCCACAAAAAATTAAAAGAGAAATACCTCATTATCCAGCAATCCATTTCTGGGTATTTATCCAAAGAAAATGAAAACACTAACTTGAAAAGAGATATGCACCCCATGATTATTGCAGCACTATTAACAATAGCCATGACATGGAAGCAGCCTAAGTGTCCATTTAACAAATGGATAAAGAAAAGGTAGTATATATATGCAATGAAATATTATTCAGTCATAAAAAAGGAGAAACTCTTGCCATTTGCAATGACATGGACAGACCTTAAGGGCATTATGCTAAATGAAATAGGTCAGACAGAGAAAGACAACCACCATATGATCTCACTGATTTGTGGGATCTAAAATAAACAAACCAGCAAATAAACAAAAAACAAAAAACCCAAGCTCACAGCTAGAAGACAGAGGTTGTCAGAGGTGGGGTGGGGGCGGGGTATGAAATGAGTGAAGGGAGCCAAAAGGGACAAACTTCTAGTTATAAAAAAAGTCATGGGCATGTAATGTACAGCATGGCAACTATAGTTAATAATTCAGTATAGCATATTTGAAAGTTTCAAAGACAGTAAATGTAAAAGTTATACTAACAAGAAAAAATAATTTGTAACTATTTATGGTGACTGATGTTAACCAGATGTACTGTTGTGATCACTTTGCAATATATACAAATACTGAATCATTCTGCTGTACACCTGAAACTAATATATTATATATCAATTTGTTATGTGTCTTATGTCAATTCAATCCCAATTAAAAAAAAAAAACAATGATACAACAATGAAATTTACAACAAGTAAAAATCACAACACGTGTGATTTTTAACCCTCAAAAAAGGAAAGAAAGTCTGGGAGTTTGAGGGAGATGACTTTCTCTCTAACCAAAATTTATCCTACACGAAATATAATAGGACAGACATATGGATGGTTGATTCCAATGGAATAGTCAAACCCACCTAAACAGCAATTTCAGGATTACAGCCAACCATCCTCACACCAGACCTAAACAAGAAAGCTTGTCCCTGTGTTGCTCCACATAGATGCCAGGTCTGACGGTGCTTCTGCTTATTGGCACTCAGCTTCTACTGCATTGTGAACTAAAGCTGGAATGCTGGGGTCTTCTACACACAGCTTTCATTTCCCTCCAGTAGCAAGGCATTCAATGAAAGGCTCAATTCAAGACTATATACAACCACTGCCCATTAGCTGAGTGTCACAGAGGAATGACTGTGCCAACCATTGTTCTGGGAGCTTTACATATATGCAATTATTAGTTATTATCCCCACTGATGAGTGAGGCATTCAGGCATAGAGAGGTTAAGAAACTTTCCCAGAGTAGGCTGACCCTCGGGGCAGCCTCTGAATCCAGAGGCTAACCTCTTAACCACTATTACCTCTCTTTAATAGATATTGGGATTGGTTGAAATGGGGCTTGAACAACACTAATCTTTCGGATATTTGATGGATTACTTTTTCTATGAATACAAAGTTACACTATTACTATTTAGTCATGTGATCATTTCAGAAAAACTTGTCTTATATAACTTTTAAGGAGTTCTTAGAAAATAATGCAAGTAATGATGAAGGGAACAAAAAGAAAGGACTAATAAGGAAAGGAAAATTCCATTTTCTAATAAAATTGCTATTAAAATCTTCACCTGTGAAGTGAAATTTCACCGATTCAGGGAGACCTGAAAGAACAGAAAAGAGAAAATCAGTGTACTAAGCATTTTGGGATCAGAAATAGATGGAGAAGGTACAAAATATGGGGCAGAGGTTAGAAAAGGAAAGGATGTTTTAATCTAAATTATTATGGTTTAAGGAAAGATCACCAGGTCTTTTGTTAATATTATGTTGAATTTAATGGTGCCATCACTAATTTTAAGTAACAAAAAGAACTGTAGAGTAGAATAATTTTATATCCCAGTAGTTAGAGTGATTTATAATACATTCATTCAGATCCCATTTTATCAGTACATAAAATCCTACAAATCAGTGAATGTGGGTGATGTCGTATATCACTGACAAGGCTCTTTGGTGGGTCAATTCCATCGTAGAATTGAGTGATGCCAGGGACATTGATTTACACATTGTAATGATGTGAGAGATTTATCTCATGGCATTTATCCCATAGATTATATAGGACAGGACTCTGTTCTCACTAAAAAGGCTTTAGGAACTTAGGCAAGTATAATAGGTATGGAAATAACTTCAACCATGGTTGACATGTTTTCTTTCCCCCTACTCCCAGGATATTTTGAGTTTCTTTGTAAAGTAGGTCTTGTCAAGTTAGAGAACCATGAACATTTTAATGGGCTATTAGTTATCCAGTTACTAAACACTGGGGATATTCCCTAGAGAAGAGGTCTATGCTCACGCTTACATATTTTCAATATAATTGAAGAGTTAGTCATTTTCTGGACAATTGCATTTAACATAAATAATGGAAAATATTATTTTAAATGTTTGCCATGATTTAAAATGTAACTCTAAAATTATTTAACCCGTGTTCAACTTACCATAGGAAATCACCAGCTGTTCTGTATGAATAAAGCTACTATATAAAAATAATATTCCATATTAATCATGTTATGTGGCACATACATCTTAAAGATCATAAGGAAACAGCATTCAAGATTTTTAGAATCATTCCAGATTCTATACAATACAGAAGTATGTACAAAACTCCTGCATTCTACTCAGCAGCTTTGATTACTGGGTCAAGGGGACAGATGAGGGATAGCAAAGATTAACTATCATGACTAGGTGGTAGGGCACAAAATGGCTCAAATTAGAAATTCAGCTATTCTTTCATTCAGTTTTCTCTTCCTTTAAAAAAGGTGGCTTCTATCAAATCCCAGCCCCAAATGTTGACTGCATTCTCCATTCCTGCATGGGACTTTCTCTGAGGTAGTAGGGGATGCTTCTCCCTAGATTCCTCTTACCCACAGCCCATCCACCCGTGGCCTCCTCCTCCAATCCACTCACATCACTGTAGTCAAAGAGTTCCTTATAAAAAGCTATCTCCCCAGATCTTAAAACCTCCATTGTGTTCCTATTGTTCTTGGGATAAAGATCCCAAGGCTTATAGGGCCTCTAAGGTCTGGCCTCTATCTCTTCCTCCAGACTCATCCCTGTTCTGCTGTTCCAGACACATTGACCTTTTTTTTTTTTAAGCCCCAGAATGCCACATTCTCTCCCTCCCTAGGGCCTCTTCACATGGAGTGTATGGCCTTCCTTTGGAAGTGTTCTCCCAATATCCCAACATGCACATTTAGGCTAATTAGCATCCACACGTCCCTCTACTGTCAATGCCTCCTGAGTCAGCCTCCACTGAACCCTCAGTATAGGTCAGTCTTGTCACTTCTAATTCCACCACTGAACATTTTTTCTTTCTATCCAGAGCTCTTCTCTTAGTCTACAATTAAACATTCATTACTGGGATTATTTCTCAAATTCTGTCTCCAAACATAGGTCCCGGGGCGCCTGGGTGGCGCAGTCGGTTAAGCGTCCGACTTCAGCCAGTTTACGATCTCGTGGTCCGTGAGTTCGAGCCCCGCGTCAGGCTCTGGGCTGATGGCTCAGAGCCTGGAGCCTGTTTCTGATTCTGTGTCTCCCTCTCTCTCTGCCCCTCCCCCGTTCATGCTCTGTCTCTCTCTGTCCCAAAAATAAATAAATGTTGGAAAAAATAAAATAAAAAAAAATAAAAAAATTAAAAAAAAACAAACAAACATAGGTCCCAAAACTCAGCAAGAACAGGATTCATGTCTCTTTTTGCTCACCACTATATCTCCAAGACCTCACTGTATGTGATTGACACATAGGAGGTACAAATAAAGATTTACTGAAAGCATTCCTGCATGCATGAATAAGAAAAATAATGACAAACTGAGCCCCAACTACATATTGGTCTACAAGTCTCAAGCTATTTTGAACAGCTATAAAGCAGTGTCACTAAACTGTCCAGAAGGACAACAGGAAGAGTTAGGGAGAACCTGCCATGAAGATCCACAAAGAGCAGTTTGGGTGCCTCAAAATAGAGAGGAAGGCATTACCAGCAAAGGAGAAGGCCATGATTTCCTGGAGGTGAGGAGCTGCAGGGGGAGGACGGTACATGATTTTTCCCTGGTTAATATCTTCTTGTGTGAAATACCGGATTGGAGAGTGAGGCTGGTCCCTGTGTTCGATGATCCCTGGGGAGGAAGAGACTCAGAGTGAACATGAACAGTAATTCTGATGGTTGACTGAATGACCAGAGCCATAAAGCTGCCTTTCCCGCTGATGGGAGTCTTTTATACTTCAAGAACAATTGCTCTCTAGTTTCTCTTATCATACCATTCTCCAAGCATTCAGGAAAAGAGTGAATCTAAAACCCAAATAGACTTTAATAGCATCTTTTAAAAAATGTTTAACTGAAGTATAATTGACATACACTATGATATTAGTTTCAGTGTACAACTTAGTGATTTGGCAATTATAGACATTATGAAATGCTCCCCACAATTAAGTATAGTTACCATCTATCACTATACAAAGTTATCACAATATTATCGACTATATTCCCTATGCTGTTGTTTTCATTCTGTGACTTATTTATTTTATAACTGGAAGTTTGTGCCTCTTAATCCCCTTTACCTTTTTTTCCCATCACCCTACCTACCTCCCCTCTGGAAACTACCAGTTTATTCTTTGTATTTATGAGTCTGTTTGTGTTTGTTTGTTCATTTGTTTTATTTTTTAGATTCACACATAAATAAAGAGCATATGGTATTTGTCTTTCTCTGTCTGACTTATTTCACTTAGTATGATACCCTCTAGGTCCATCCATGTTGTGATGAATGGTAAGATTTCATTCTTCTATGGTTGAGTAACATAACATCCCTGTGTGTGTGTGTGTGTGTGTGTGTGTGTGTGTATGTATATATATATATCTCACATCTTCTTTATTCACCTATTGATGGACACCAAGGTTGTGTCTCTATCTTAGCTATTATAAATAATCGTGCAATAATTATAAGGGTGCATATATCTTTTTGAATTAGAGTTTTTGTTTTCCTTGGGTAAACACCCAGAAATGCAATTATTGCATATAGTAGTTCTATATGATCAGGACATATTTAATTTTTTTGAGAAACCACCAGTGTAAATTGGTGACTGCACCAATTTACATTCCCACCAACAGTGCCCAAGGCTTCTCTTTTCTCCATATCCTCGCTAATACTTGTAATGTCTTACCTTTTTGATACTAGCTATCCTGACTTGTGTGAGGTGATATCTCATTGTGGTTTTGGTTTGCATTTCCCTGATGCTTAATGATGCTGAACATCTTCTCATGGGTGAAACCCAAATAGATTCTTGACTAGGATTCATTGACTATAAACAATAGTAAGATGTAAATTACTGCCCCTAATATAACTCAGACTAGGTAATTCTCCACAAGTCATAGACATTGTACCATAATTACAAGATTCTCTTAATTGAGTTTAAGTTCAAAGGTCAAGGTTGCTGAGAAAATGACATAGACTGGTCTCCTGGTTAGGCTATAATGAGAACTTTCTCAATTTATGCCTTTTCTTCAGAAATACCTCAGTTTCTGTGATAATCTTTGGCAACAGTAACATGGATCATGACTATTCTAAGAATTGGATATGCAATTATTATTCTGCTTGTGATAATGCTTTAGGAGCTAAAAAATTTTCCTATCATTTCTAAATTTCGCAGGTATAAAAATAATGCTGCTATGATCACCTTTCATGTCCTATCAACACTTTCAAAGAAGGACACATGTGAGAGTTGGTGTTGAACTAACTCAAGTTATGAGGGTCTGAGAGACCCATGCCATTCTCCAGAAGACAGCCCCGGCTGCTGGATGGAGAGAACTGTACCTTCCACCCTGGCAATGTAGGGAGAACAGCTCTTGCTGTGACTTAGCAGGTTTTAAAAAAAGTGAAGGATGACTTTTAAGAGTTTAATTTCTCTGGATTTTGTCAAAAGGGTAATAAAATTTAATTTTTTATTTCTCCTGGGGGATTTGATGATGTGAAAAGACTTTCATCTAGGGCAGTGGTTGGTCTTGGGAAGGCAGAATTTGCCTTAACAGAAGCTAATCTCCTCTCCATGAGGGACAGCCACACTTCTGTTAGGGATAGGCTTATTAGTTAAGCCCAAAAGTAAGAAATCTAAAGGATGAAGACAGATGGCAGGGGCCTACCTTTCCTCTGACTATAGTTCCACATTTTAATTTTTCCCCATGGGTGAAGAGTAGCTTACCCAAATGGGAAAGGAATGGACTATGTATGGTTCAGCCCCTTCTGTGCTTTCTGGCAGAGCTCCTTGTCCTGAGCACATGCTCATTCTGGTCTGTTCACCTATCATAACTTCACTGGGGCAGGATCTGTCCCTACAGACAGTGCTTGTCTGTCCAGTTCTGCCTGTACATGAGAGGGCGCACTCAACCCAGTGACTGAGATTATATGCACACCATGTTCTCCAGCACAACTCTGTCATACCAATGCTGACACATTGACACATTCATCCCCATCTGTCTGACCACAGTGTCTCTCTCTCAATTGGTCTTAAATTCAGAACAGGGGAGCAAAGGTATGAATAACTGTCACTCCTTAAATCCTCAACAAGTATATGCAGACAAAACTTCAGAGCTTTGAAGATAAGTCAACAATTAGATAACAACAGCATCACTCAAAAGATCATTTACTATACATCTTACCTTGATTTGGATGCAGAGGTAAAGTGATATTATATATAATCTTTCCGCTTGGTCTCTCAGAGTTTACAAAAGAGAGGGAATGAGGCTGAATCACAGTCAGGCCATCTTCCCGAGCCTAAACAAAGTTTAAGGAGGAAGAAGAACAAATGGTGTGATGAAAACAAAAGCCAGAGGGGGGAAAAAAAACCTTACTAAAAAAGCAAAAGGAAAAAGCAAAACAAACAAACAAACAAACAAAACAAAACAAAGGACCTCATTTTGGGCTTTTAAATTAATCACACACGGCAAAATTTTCTCTGAAAGTTCAGAAGAAGGATGTGGTATCTTGCACTGCAGATCTGTCTTGGCGTTAAGAACCTCCCAGGGTTATAGAACCTTCTTCTGGTTCTCTTGTACCCCAACTGTCCTCTCCCCTGCACTCTGCCAGGTTTGTGTCGGTGCATGCTGTAGGAGTCTCAATATGATCACTTTTCCCTAGTTTTGGAACTCATAGTGGTACATATTTGAAAATGGGGACACCTGGGTGGCTCAGTCCATTAAGCATTTGACTCTTGATTTTGGTTCAAGTCATGATCTCATGGTTCGTGAGATCAACCCCACGTTTGGGCTTTGCACTGACAGCACAGAGTCTACTTGGGATTCTCTCTCTCCCTTTCTCTATGCCTCTCCTCTGTGTGTGCATGCACACACACATTCTCATTCTCTCTCTCTCTCTCTTTTTCTCTCTCTCTCTCTCTCAAAATAAACAAAAGAAAAAAAAGAAAATGAGCCATCACAACTGGCTACTCTGCTATTCTGCTCTTCACAGCTGGGTCACTACATCTTTGCTCCTCTAATTTAATGAGCTAAGGTTGTATCTGGTAAGAAGCCCTCCCTAATCCCCCCCAGCTTTGCTAATGGGAACTGTGACCCAAACATCCATCCTTCCTTCCTTCCTTCCTTCCTTCCTTCCTTCCTTCCTTCCTTCCTTTTTCTTCCCTTTTCTCCCTCTCACTCTCCCTCCCGCTCCCTCCCTCTCCCTCCCTCCCTTTCCTTTCCTTTCCTTTCCTTTCCTTTCCTTTCCTTTCCTTCCCTTCCCTTCCCTTCCCTTCCCTTTCCCTCTCCTTCCTTCCTTCCTTCCTTCCTTCCTTCCTTCCTTCCTTCCTTCCAACAGTGGTAGCTTCAAAGGCCCAAAGATCAACTCACCTCAGACACCAAAGGAGTCTCATTATTTGAATTCAGAGATTTAACAATTATCTATTAAAGCACATAAAAATAGTCAATGTTTTCTTTGTCTCCATTGCACTATTCAAAAGAACTAGCTATTGCTTTTGGGGTATTTCTCAATACCCAATAAAGGGGTCGAGCAAAATTAATCAAAAGGCCAATGTGTACATATTTTTTACTGTCCATTCACCTGTGTACAGCCATAACCCATCAATAGTGACAACGCTCAAAAAAAGAAAAAAGGGAAAAGAAAGAGATTTTGAATCTCATGACCAGGTATAACAGTGAGTTGGGGACAGCAGCAAAAACACAGAGTGCAGATGAGAAAAGGGAAAAGTGTGTGAGCATGGGCCCCTTGCCTGGGTCACATATGCTGTTAACAAAAGAGAACAAAAATATCCCGCTCATTGCAGGCTCTTCCTAACTGACCCCTGAAGGGTTAGAGTTTGACATGCTCTCCTGCTCTTTGAAGCTCTGCTTCTTAAAGAAGGAATTTCCCCATTTAGGAAAGGATTAAGTAGGGCTCAGTAATTCTCATGGAGGAGGGCGTGGTAGTCTTCCTTTTAACCGTGAAAAGATTGAAGGTTGCAGTTGCTTTGTAAGTGTCCTGAAGGCACGCATGTCCTGGGGAGAGGCAGCTTTGCAGGTTAGGACAACCCTCCTAGAGTAAAGAGTCATATTTCAGGCCACTGCTCAGGTCTGGAATGTAATGAGCAAGGAAAATAAGAATTACAAATAGCAGCTGGTCTCTCACCCTAAAATAAAACAAGTAAGGACAACAAATTAAAAATATATGCCCCATGTAAGGTGTTTACAACCCATGCCTGTGTGCACACACCCATAAATGTATACATGTGTGGGCGCAGCAACATGGGCACAGAAGTGTAGACTCAGCACATTGTTCAGTACTATTTGCCACCTTTTAATCTCAAAACCATCAGGATAACTGAATGTTCTCAGAGTAGTAGGAGATATTTTTGAAAATCTAGATGTCCCTAAAATAAAGCAATAAGAAGAGGGAATGGAATAGGAGCATGGCTACAGGGAAATATATTCCAGCCAAGATGACAGATAATTTATTATGGAACTTATTGTTACTATTTCCCTACTAATAGAAATAGGAACTAGGTAGAAAAAGGAAGAATTTGATTTTCTGAAGAAAGCAATATTGAGTCTGAGATATATCAAAGTATAATCAATTTTAATATTGCCTATTTGGAATGTTCAATATTTATCAATTAAACATAGTAAAAAATGAAAGATTAAATTTTATGGAAATCATTACAGAAGACACATTTTTATTAAAATATCTGTCAAAAAAAGAAGATTACAGAATGATGGTTTTCATAATACCCATATTGCGTCTGAATATATCTAGAATCCAATTGCTTCTCCCCACTGCCACTGCCAGCACCCTGTTGGGAGCCACAATTTCTCACCTGGATCATTACCAGGACAGCCTCCCAACTGCTCTCTTGCCCCACCTACAGTGTATTTCAACACAACAATCAGCCAGGGAAGATTAGACCCTTGCTGCCCAATACCCAGTAATGGCTCTCCATTTTGCTCTGAAAAAAAGCAAAGTCCCTACAATGCCCTGTGAGGACCTTGTAAGGTCTGCCCCAACTCTCCCTCTGCCCCTCTCTCTGCTGCCCCCAACACACACACTTGACACATCTGTGAGTTTGACCAGATGGCTGTCATTTTCACTCACTCTGCTCCAGCCATGCTGGCTACCTTGCTGTTCCTCGAACATCTAAGCACATTCCCAACTGGATGTCTCTAAACACATGGTTCCCTGGGCCTGGAATGCCTTTCCCTTAGGTGTCTGCTGGGCTATCTCTCTCACCTCCTGCAAGTCTTTCTTTAAACATCATTGTCCAGGGGCGCCTGGGTGGCGCAGTCGGTTAAGCGTCCGACTTCAGCCAGGTCACGATCTCGCAGTCCGTGAGTTCAAGCCCCGCGTCGGGCTCTGGGCTGATGGCTCAGAGCCTGGAGCCTGTTTCCGATTCTGTGTCTCCCTCTCTCTCTGCCCCTCCCCCGTTCATGCTCTGTCTCTCTCGGTCCCAAAAATAAATACACGTTGAAAAAAAAAATTAAAAAAAAAAAAAAAAACATCATTGTCCTAATAAAGCTCACCTCATTTAGAACTGCAACCTGGGTTTCTCCTGTTCCCACCACATTTCTGATCCCTCGACCTAGATCTACTTTTTGTTTTACCGTAATACTTTCACTAACATACAACACATGAGTTACTTATTATTTTGTTTATTACTTATTGTCTATTCTCTCGTGACCTGCCAAGAGAATGGAAACTCCATGAGAACGTGGATTTTTGTTTGTTCATGGACAGATCCCAAGCACCTAGCACATGGCACATGGAAGTGCTTGATAACAATTTGTTGAGTGGATGAAAAATATCATTAGGAAAAGATTAAGCTAAGAAATAAAATAATGAAAATATTTTTGTAACAACTTAATTAAAAAAATATTTTCCATGGTCTTGCAATGTCATCTAAATAATTAGAGGGGCAAAACATTTTAACATGTAAGTCTTAGCAAAGTATATGTGACTTAAATCTTTAAAAATCCCTAGTCAGGATTTATAAACAACATTACCATTTCAGCCTCCATTAAAAGCAAGACCACTTTCCCATGTTGACTGTCATAAAACCAAAGCAGCAATGCCCATGGCTGGCCTGAGAAATTAAGAGGCTGAGATGAGTAAAATGGAGGTTTTGCAAGAAGCCATCTTCTCACATAGTTTAGTTTGGACAAAATTAATTCATTCACATATTCATGTGGCAAATATTTAGTAAGAACCTAATATGGGAAGGTACTGAGCAAAGAACTGTGGGAGATGTAAGATGAATCAGATATAGATTCTTTCCTTAAGGATTTCCGGTTTTTAGTGAGGGAAGTTCATAAATAGCTCCACTGTACAAACTGCTAAGTAGCTTGAAAGGCTCAGATAAAGCACAGTAGGAATTCCAAGGATAAAGAAACATTTCTAGAAATTGCAGATAATGATTTTATTAGTGTTTGAAGGGTCTCAAGAAAAAACACGGACACATAAGCCCGCAGCCAGAAAACAAATACAGCATGCCTAGACTTGAGTCTACACGACAAGGGATCAGCTGTTCCAACTGAATCCTTGCTAACCCCAATAAGAGTGGTTTTAAGAGACCTCTTGTTACAGCAATCACTGGAAACAAATGGAACTAGAAAGACTTGTTCGAGGCCTTTTTCTTAGGTCGTGACCTTGGGAAACCCAACTCTGAGTACCACAACCATTTGAAAAAAGGACGTAAAAAATATTCTGTCTTTCGCATTAAGAGATAAAAGAATTTTCTTCCCCCTTAAGAGAGGAATTGGAAATAGGATGTTCAAAGTGTGTGTATGCATGGGCATACACATATGATTAGATTATTTGAATTTGAAAGTGATATAGTTTAGGGAGTTATTAGCTATGTGAAAATAGGTCTGAAAATGATTCATTTAGTCAACAAATATTTACTAAGCAGCTACTTTCTATAAGCCATTGTGCTAGATGCTGGGGAAGATACCAAGATTAATTAGTCAAAGATTTTGCCCTTAAAGATCTTCTAAGTCAAGTAGTGGATGATTAGTTGGAAGACTGAACTGATATAAATCTATTAACTTATTTGCTGAATCTCACACTGTGCTATGCTATTATTGGTAAATATGCGTGTTTACAGATCTCCCTGCCCAAATATGATATATATCCCAAATATACATATGTCACATGTTTATATATATATATATATGCATGTGTGTATGTGTATGTATGTATGTATATACATATATATAAACATACATACATATACACATATATATCTTATAATATTATACATATATGTATACATCTTATATATGTATGTATGCACATACATCTGGTGGAACATCACAAACAAAATTCTAAGGATCTTATATTTGATGAAGGAGAGCATTATAGAAAGGCCACAGAACAAATTTCCATTTAGGCAGGTATTTGTTTATGTTGCTTTTTACTCTATATAATCTCCCTGGGGAATCTCAGGCCCAAGGATTAAACCACTACCCACCATTAATGATTCTCAGAGGTTTATCTCCCACTGAGAATATCTTCTGCCAGCCCTTAATAGGCACACATTTTATAAGCACATCCCAAACTGAACTCATCATATCTCCCACTTCTCCCCCTTGCCCTGAAGTCCCCATACATTCCTAATCTTTATGAATGGCATCTTTACATATTCAGCAACTGGGCTGTTTTGCTCTCTTCCTATATCTAATTAACCACTATGTCTCTAAATATCTTTTAATCTCTATTTTTTTTTTTTTTTACCATCTTAACCACTTTAGGTGCACAGTATAGTAGTGTTAACTATATATGTATCATTGTGGAACAGATTTCTAGAACTTTTTCATCTTACAAAACTGAAACTCTATATCCACTGAACAAAAACAACTCCTCTTTTCCCTCTCCCTACCTCTACCTCTGCAGGGGCAACTACCATTCCACTTTCTGTCTCAAAAAGTTTTACTACTTTAGATAGCTCATATAAGTAGAATCGTATAGTATTTGTCCTTTTGTGACTGGCTTATTTCACTTTGGATAATGTCCTTAAGGTTCATACATATTGCAGCATTTCCTTCTTTAAGATTGAATAATATTCCATTGTTGTGTATACCACATTTTCTCTATGCATTTATCTGCTGGAGGGCATTTAGGATGCTTCTGCCTCTGAGCCATTAGGAATAATGCTGCAGTGTACATGGGTGTGCCAGTGTCTCTTTGAGATCTCACTAACTGTGAATGTTCATTGCCACTGCACGTGGTACATGCCACTAACCCTTCATGTTCTAGATGACTGCAACAGCTTATTTCTTGACCAATTTGTTCTCTGTTTGGACCCCAGGTGGGTGTTCTTTACCCTACAGCCAGAATGACCTTCCTAAATTGAAAATCTGATCATGCCCCCTCTCTGCTATGAATTCTTCAACATCCTATTTGCCCCAACAGCCTCTCAGAACAAAATGGAAACTCTTCATCTCATCTGTAAGATCCTCTATGATCTGACTCTCATTTCTTGTTTCTTTTTCACCTAGAGATTTATGCTCTGGCCAACTGAACTCTCTGTAATTCCTCAAACATGTCATGTTCTCCTGTTTCTCCAACTTTTTTCACCTGCTGCTCATCTGCCTCAAATGAATTTCCCCATATTTGCAGTCTAGATAAATGGGGTTTCAAGTAGGGTGAGCAAAGCAGAAGCAACAGTATCACCCGGAAACTTGTTGGAAATGCAAAGTCTCAGCCCTGTACTAGACCTACTGAACCAGAAAACTCTGGGGTGGGCTCCAGCAATCTGTGATTTAACAAACTGTATAGGTGATCCCAATGCAGGCTGAAGTTGAGACCATGCTCTAGACATAATTTACACTTCAACCAACTCAGTTCACCTCCAAGAGGAAGCTTCGATGACCTCCCCCATGCCTTACTGAACTAGGTGTCTCCTTATTTGCTTCCATATTGTGACTCTGCTTGCATATCACATCATGGCATTTATCGCTATATTCTCATTGCTTACTTACTTGCGTGTTTTAGACTCTAATTTCCACACTGAACCTCCAATATGTTCCACAGCACTTGGGATAACTTAGGGGCCCAAAAGTGTTTATTTGAATGATTGACTGATTGGAGAGGTGGACTCCTACCCTTAAACACATAGATGAATATACCATATATTTATTTAGCATATATATATATTCATAGTGTATTTACAAATATGTATAAAACTTGTGTGCTTAGATGAGTCTAAGTCACTGAATAGAAAATGTCTTTTTATCACAGATTGTAAGTATATCCTATAGTAATGGCTCTCATTAATATCATGAGAATTTCAAACTGTATGTTTTAAGGGGTAAAGAGTGAGCTAATCACATTTTACAGTAAACTCACCTTTGTGATATCCTAAATTACACAGGGCAGATCTAATTTACAAACATGCAACCTGAGACCCTAAAGGTTAAGTAACTTGAGAAGTCTCTAGAGTCCACAACAACATAGTGGGAATGGCGCCATCTTCATTGGCTCCTGGCCCATTTTTTCCCTCTAAACTCTAAACAACAGTACATTAGCATTTGGCAACCAATGCATATGCACATTTTTCTTTACACTTTAGAGAAAATTCTGATCCAAGTTCCTTCAGTCAGAATGATGAATTATAGACTTTATAGTGCTGCTGAATTATGATTTCTTTAAATTATGGTTTATGGTGGAAATGCCGATACCAGCTATTCATTAAAAACTTTGTTTCCCCCTTTATGTCTCTGTCATGCCCCAGACCCATAATTTCTAAAACTGTAGCTGCTCTCTTTGTTGTGGCTCAGGGCTGATACACTGCTTTGGGGTGTAATTATGTGGGTGCTAACTAAAATGTGAATCCTTAATGATTAATTTATAAGGTCTTATATGCTTGTGGCTCTGTCTAGAACAGGGGTTCTGGCATTATATATCCACTGGATATAGGGTTACAGTGGAGTTACTAATTGTCTGAACTAAGCTTCATGTACTAATTTAGCTGTCACCTTGCTTCAAACTTTTCCACATGCCCACACTCCTTCCTACACGGCACACGAGATCTTCTGCGATCTAGCTCACGAACCTCCACATCCTCACTACTCCTCCTCTGCCTCCCTAATTTCTCGGGTCTTACTGAACTATTTGCAGTTTACCCAACCACCATACTGTCTTTCACCGCTATATCTTTGCATGTGCTGTTCTTAAATCTGGAAGTGTTCTTTACCATCACCTCTCCATTCCCCCCAACCTGCCCCCCAAACTTTCACTTAGATAATTGCTACTTATTTGTTTGGATTCAGCAAAGACATCACCTTCTCCAGGAAACTTTTATGATAAAAAAACAAAAACAAGAAGACTTCTAATAGGGCTTCTAAAATATAGAGTGGCAGTTTCTCCAACTAGATGGAGACATAACTGACTGAACAATTACACCCAAACGGTATTGATTAAGTCTATACTACCCTGAAACTCCTTCCAACTACTGTGACCATCTGGATGCTGTAAAAAGGACAGAAGCAATGGATGGGGGGTTGAGGTGGATTCCATGTAACCTTCCTTTCGCTCTGGAATTTTAAGTTTCTTTTTCAAGTCAATGAGAAATGTGACATCAGGGCTGGTTATTGTTGGCCCCAGCGTCTGCGTTCTGAGCCAGGCATTTGCCAGATACAAAAGCAGGACACTCCTTCAAACCCATCAGCATGCCTCCTCCAAATGGAAACCACAGGCCGTCCCACCCAACTCACGGTCATATGGAGAGATGCTCCCAGAGAGAGTTTAGGTGCGTCAGGTGTCTGTGGTAAGATCGCGATGTTGAATATGCGGCTCTCCAGATGCGTGTGGGCTTCTATGGCACTGGACACCTGAAAAGAAATGTCATGCTGGTGAGCTCTTGTCCTCTGTTGGGCAGAGTATGTTTGTGCATGTTTGTTTTTCCTCCTTTAAACCATCTGTCTTTAAATTCTATGTGCTCTTGCATTTTCATTTTCATTTTGCTCTTCATATTTTAATATTAATGTTTTCCTGATTACAAAAAACGTAATCATTTTAGGCAGTTCTAAAAATGCAGGGAAATCCAAATGAGAAATAAAAAAAAAAATCTAGAACGTCACTAAGTAGAAAGAGTAGTTCTTAACCTATTGATGCATTTCAGGTTAATATATTTTCTATGTGTATGTGAAACTTTATATGCAATTATGTGCTCTCTAAATTTTATTTTATTTTATTTTTATATTTTATTAAAATTAAAAAAGATTTTTTTAATGTTTTTATTTATTTTTGAGACAGAGAGAGGCAGAGCATGAGCAGGGGAGGGGCAGAGAGAGAGGGAGACACAGAATCTGAGCTGTCAGCACAGAGCCCGATGCAGGGCTCGAGTTCATGCACTGTGAGATCATGACCTGAGCTGAAGTCGGATGCTTAACTGATTGAGCCATCCAGGGGCCCCTCCAAATTTTAATCTAACATAATACTATGATGTTTTGTTATATCATTACTCATTCTTGAAAACAATTTTTGATAGCTACATGTCTCATTACGAGCATATTTAACACATGTTCTATGGGACTTTTTATTCTACTTCTTCAATTTTTTCCCAGCACAGATATGTACACCTGGATTAGAAATGATAAATCTCAGCTTCATCATCATAAGGTGTAATTAGTAACAATTACAATTAGAATAGTAGTCACAAAATGGGGCGCCTGGGTGGCTCAGTTGGTTGAGCATCCGACTTCGGCTCAGGTCACGATCTCACGGCTCGAGTTGGAGCCCTGCGTCGGGCTGTGTGCTGACAGCTCAGAGCCTGGAGCCTGCTTCGGATTCTGTGTCTCCTTCTCTCTCTGCCCCTAACCCACTCACACTCTGTCTCTGTCTCTCTCAAAAATAAATAAACATTAAAAAAAATTTAGAATAGTGGTCACAAAATCAACGTTTTCTTGCTTCAAAAATGCTAAAAAAAATTATGCTTTGCCTACTCAGCTAGCTCCTCCCCTCCCCCAGTGCTTCTAAGCTGCCCCCTTAAACTCCCTCTCTCTGTTTTCTGTTCCACTTTAGGCTTGTCACAAGAGTTGCTAAGGCCTGTATGGCCACGTGTAGTTGCATTAATTCCAGATGAGAGGGGGCAGGGTTCTGTCAATTCTAAGGAAAAAGGCAGGAATGGCAGTCCTTTCTTTATGTCTTCTGAAGTTGTGCCCAACAGAAAAACCGTCTTCTCGGTATCTTGATCACATCAGATGCCTGGAGATCAAGTTTCAGAATATCTACATGTTTTCAAGAAGATACCTTATAGTGTGTCATTACAAGTAATATTAATGAAACAGCTATAATTTGCTGAGCATCTCCCATGGGCTCAGCACTATACTACCTACTTTTCAAAAGTTCTCTTACCACTTACAAAGTTGATATTATCTCCTAAGATGAGGAAATGGAAGGTCAAATAAGTTAAGCAAGATATCACAGTCATAAAGTCAATAAGGGTCAGTATTCAAACAGGTCGGAAGGTTCATGATATTCCTACTGACCAAGATGGCTCAATTTGGAAGCTTTCAAAACTTAGAAGAGGGGAAAATATACTTTATCTCTTGAAGAAAAAGAATGGAACACTGTGCAGGTAGTGAAATGTGGACACATTACCAAGCAAGGGAATCAATTCTAGCTTCCTTAGTAAAGGTATTGGTATGAAATATGTTGGTCTTTTCATACCACATCCCCTAAGGCTGTTTCAACGTGCTCTGAATACACCAAAACCAGAGTCCCTTCCCATGCCCCAAATGACGCAAATGTGCGTGCTTTCTTTTCACTATGCCACGCTCTATTTTTAAATGCCACTTGCATTACATAAATCCCAAGTTTTACGTGCAAAGTAACAGATGGCATGCCTTGATGGCTCATGACAGCACATCAACATTAAAATGGAATTAAATCCATGCAACTCATTGTATTGCATTTTCTGCTTTAAAGAAAGAAAAAAGAAGGGAAGAAAGAGAAGAATCATTAGAACAGCATCTTTTTTAGTTTAATTCTTTTAGGGACACTAAAATGATGAATGAGAGAAGTTTCAGCCATTTGTTTCAGTACATAGCTACAGTGTCTGTGTCATTTCAAATCAAAATATGAGGTAAGCCTATAAAACAATGAGACTTTAAAAGCACACCCAACTTTTTTATATCCAGGAGAACATAATCTCAGAGAGTTGTTTCACGCTTGCAATAAAGATGCTGTCAGTGTTGAAAACGCACTTTTTGGAATGCCTTCAGAGGGAGTTCACAAATCATGTAAGAAAACTGAGCTTGTTACTTCATAATTGCTCCCTGTTTTAACAAAAAATAATTACTACTCTTCTTACCAGACATGACTCTGACTGACTTTTGGCTCTTTGGTTATTTTTAAAAATCAACTTCCAAAGGATGATATACTGTCACTACTGGGGATATTCTAAAGAAAATCCCATAGATTTTGAAGAAGATCTCAAGTAGGAGTTCTAAACACATCATGAGTAAAATGTGTGAAGACTTTCCAAAGGGAACCACTTTCTGAGTAATAATGTTCAACTGGATGTCTTAAAGTCCAGTGAGTTTGTTTAAAAAAAAAAAAAGAGTAACTCTTGCTTTTTTATGCCCATTTAGTAACCAAGTTGGAAAAGCAATCGAATATCATTTTTTGAGGACTGCAGAGTTCCCTGGTGCTAAAAATGAAAACGTTAACTTGGGCAAAGGGCACATGAGGCTTGCTCACCCATTGGACCGTCAGTGTGCTTGCTATAATCTCATTCTAATGGTTTCCAAGTTTCTTTCAATCTGCTCCCTGGAAAAGCACATCTTTTACACAATATAAATTAGGCAATAAAGATGTGTGCACCAGGCATCAGAAGGAGAATGGATGGTAATTTTAACAAGGTAAGCTATCGTGGCAGTTTATCCCCAACTGGATTCCTAGACAAAGGAAAAGTCTTAAAACTCAGAGGGACTGTGACTCTGCTTTGGCTGATCACTACCACGAGTGCTTCTTTATATTTTCTCTGACACTTTCCCAAATTCCTTTCTGTACCTATGTTTAAACACTCTTTCTCAAAGTTTCTCATTCCTTTGCACTTTTATTCAATTCTTTATTTCCAAATTGCCCTTGACATAGGTTTGTCTAATTCTATTGGTCTTTCCAAAGATTCAGGTTTTGCATTCATTATCAATTCTCACATTTTATACTGAATCAATTCCTCTGCTTATCTCTATGAATTCCTTCCTTAGGTTTCCCTTGTGGTTCTCTACCTTCATTTAGCCCATTTATTTTCATGCTTTTTGCTCAATAATAAGAGCTTAAGGCCATCAATTTTCTTCTGAGTATTATTTTGTCCACATCATTTAAGTTTGGATAAGTTATTTCCTCCTCATCTTTTTAGAACTTGTAATTATTTAGGAGACTTTTAAAAATTCTAAATGGTTTGAATTTTGTTTACCTCTTTATTATTAATTTCTAATTATATTTGATAATTGCCAGACAACGTGCCCAGGATAATTTCTTGTTCTTTAATTTATTGACAGCCTCCTTACGGTCTGTTTGTCTTAGTTTGCTCAGGCTACTATAACAAAAACACCATAAACTGAGTGGCTTATAAACAAAAGGAATTTATTTCTTGCAGTTCTGGAGACCAAAAGTCTGGATCAGGGGGCCAGCATGGTGGGGTTCTGGGTTGCAGACCACCAACTTATTGCATACCCATGGTGGAGAGCACAGAAGGGGAGGAGGCTATCTTGTGACTCCCATAAGAGTACTAATCCCATTCATGAGAGCACAGCTCTCATGACTTCATCTAATCCTAATCACCTACCAAAGGTCTCATACCCATATACCATTGAATGGGGAGGGGGTAGGATTTCAACATATGAATCTCAGGGGGACACAAACATTTAGTCTACAGCACTGGTATGTGACCAATCTTTACCAATGATAGCAACGAACCCACACATAGTGATAGGCAGTATTGTACGTGTATGTACTAACTCATTAAATCCTCATATAGTTCTATTTTACAGATGATAAAAATGAAACACAAGGATTTTGCCGAAGTAATCTTCCCAAAGTTGTTTAGCTAGTGCAAGGTAAAACTGAAATATGAACCCACTGGGTTTGGCTGCTAAGTCTATGCTCTTATCATAAGATGGTAAATGTTCCAAAAACATTTGAAAAAAGAAATATTTTTTTCCTCCATATGGCATTTTAATATTTTGAAAACATTTTTTTTCTAAACACTTCAGCCATTATCTATTATAAACTCTTTGCTGTGGAATGAGTCTGTAGAGATGGTCTAAGACTGAATCAGCAGATTAAAAAAATCTCTCAGTGCTACGAATTACATTTGTTCTTCCCCCAAATGTGATTTCCAGGCAACATAGAAAATGACCTGATTATTTAAAATAATGGTGATGAGGGGCGCCTGGGTGGCGCAGTCGGTTAAGCGTC